GGAAAGAAGGAAGGAAGGAAGGAAGGAAGGAAGGAAGGAAGGAAGGAAGGAAGGAAGGAAGGAAGGAAGGAAGGAAGGAAGGAAGGAAGGGAAAAGAAAGGCCTCTAGGGGAAACTGTTACACCCCTTTGGAGGGATTTTTTGAGGTTCTTTGATTTTTGAAGTAGAGTAGGGACATTTGGGGGAGGGGTTAAAAGATGGTGGTTATGACCATGTGATCAAAGCCCTGCCCCTTTTTAATGTCCACTGTTGCATGTAAAAAGAGAATGGGACAAGGATCACATAGACATGGCGTCCATTCATCACCCCATGGATGCCTCTGAAATGGAGAATAAGTATGTTAAATCTATTTTTTCCCTTTCACCAAAACAAACCACTAAAAAATTTACGGCTGAAACTATTTTGAAAGCAAATTTCAGGAATGAGGTTTTGAGATTTTTTGGCAGCCACAAAATAAAGGGTCTTGTGAGGGGATATCCATTTATGATCTAGCAACATAGTAATACATTTACTATATGTATATAAACACCCACACTTGCATATAAATCTCCCCCTAGAGGGGCTTGCGTTGGGTGGGCTGAAATTATGAGCAGGCCTGGGCAGTTCCTTGGATTCAAAAACAAAAAAGGATTTCAAAGGATAGGAGGAGGTTACACCTGAGGCGCCTGTTTGAAGCTCCTGAAAGTAGCTGTGCCCACTTAATCCTGGGAAAGGACATGCTTAAGGAATTGCCGAAAGGTGCTATGTTTGGATTCTTATATGCTCCAAAGCAGCCTTTTACTTTCAAATCCGAAGTGTTGCATAGCCCTCTTAATGGGGATAGACCACATATCTGTGATAGCTCTGTGATATTTTGCATCGGGATATTGATTTGCAAACTTGGTGCCAGCTCTATAGCATATGGCTAAATACATTGGCAGTGTAAAATTATTTACAAAAAATAATGGCTGTAAATCATGTCATGGCGTATGTCCATTGACATATTGCAGTGTACCCACAAACTAGATGCCAAGTATATATTAGCAAATACAAAAATCTAGGGCCCTGTGTTCTTCATAGCTTTCAACGGATGTTTCATCATACCATGCTCTTTAAGCTACTTTTGCTTTAGGGAGTTGTTTTGCAAGGAACTATCCAAGCTGATTTTTTTAAAGAATAAGGTGGTGTGTACACACTGAATGTAATGGCCTAAATGGCCAGTTCCAATTCTATGATTATATTGTGTGTATCTACCAGGATTGCACAGTGTTCTTGATTCCATTCTAAGAAGGTGCTTTAGAGTGTGTGTGGGTGCAAACATGGCACCCGTCTGCAACTCTTTTAAAGCACCTCCATCTTTTCCTTCTGCAGCTGCCCTGTGACCCACTGCCTTAGTATATACTCACATACTAGGGACTCTTTTAAGACTTGTGAGACCCCTGGGGACAGATCTTCCAATTGAGCCCCTTCCATCATTTCATCCTATGTCACTGGCATTCTCCCTCCCTCCCTCCCTCCCTCCTTCCTTGCTTCCTTGCTTCCTTGCTTCCTTGCTTCCTTGCTTCCTTCTCCATATATTGTCACTTAGGCCATTAAAGCCAACCCATTGCTCCAGGTAGGAATCCAGACAAAACCATGACTCTCCAGCCAATAACATATCCAGAGGAGGAGATCGTATCGCCTCATTATCTGAACTGCTCTTACAGCTCTTACGGTTTCCTAACACTCAACAAGAATCTATCTTCCTGTAACTTAAATCCATGATTCCATATCCTGTACTTTGGCATGCTAGAGAACAGTAGTTAATGACCAATAAAAGCAGTGTGTGGAGAAATCCAGAGTTCAGGAAAAAAAAGAAAAGAAAGAAATTAGGTTTGTTGTCTTGAATAAAAAAGTATTGATTTATCTGTTCAGTTCAAGCCCTGAACAATATATACATATACCCACACACTTTTACGCACATGGGCTACAATTTTTGCAGCGTCCCTTGTTCAATACCTTTTTATTTTGCTGTTTGAAAACACATCAATTATTCAATATTTTTCAATAGTAATGTCTCCCCATGTTAAGCCTGCTAACGTCCATGTAGGTATGTGAGACAAAGGCATATCAAAGATTTTCGACCTCAGCACTGACAAATGCAACAGAATTTTGAGCTGAAAACAGAATTTTCAGTGAGAATTCTGTTAATTCCAATCTCCTCTTTTGAAACCCAAGGAAAAGGCTTTAATTCGGTACCTAGGATTGCATAATTGTTTAACCACAAGGATCCTGCTAGATAATTACTAGCCATTCAGTCAATTGGTCTACTCAAATATCTGTGAAAAGATAAAAGGATACAATCTATGCATCTACTTAGAAGACGCAACTAGTTTAAACAACAATAACACAATTTTCCTTGCTTTCAAAATGAAATTTCTGGCCTCCAGTTCTTTCAGGGTATTTGGAAAGGAACAGTACTAGTTGCTTTCTGATTATTGTTTTGAATCACCTTTTTCTTGATAAATGAGCAGAGCTCTGAAGATTACTGCAGAGTGCATCAACACTGAAATCCAGAATAAATATTAAGAAATGAATCCTCCATCTCTCTAGTCCCAGTTGGATCTTGTTCTCCAAACTGTCAGAGATCACAATGTTCTGTTCTTGCCTGTGCACTGCGTTATTCTCCACCTCATTCTTTTTATTAGAATTAAGTTAGAAATACAAATAGAAAATGGCCACACAATAACAACATCTTTATTTTTCTGGCACAGAGTCATTAAACACAATGAGGCTTGCACCAAAGGAGCGCCCTAATGCAATCCTATGCATCTTTGCCACAAAGTAAATCCTTGTGTTCCAAGGAGGTTTATTCCCAATAACTGTGGTTAGAAAACAGGCTTGTTCTTTAAATGCAATACTTGTAAAGGAATAAGTTAGTTTTTAGCAGGATTATGATGTTCTATTGTTGGTGGGGAATTCTTCCAAAAATCTCTTTGGATACCTATCTGACAATACAAATATTATTAATTATAATAATTTGCTACCTTCAACTGCTAGCTTACAAGAAGCTAGTCCTCTAGAAAAGTTTACCGCTAGGATATGTAAGATAGATCTTTTTACTTGTTAGTTTTAGAAAGAATCGTGTCTTTTCCTTTGCTGTAGATGCTCAGTTTCTGAGACCCAAGCAAATATCACTGCAATCCAGTGAGAAAATGGCAATGTTAACAGGCAGCCCTTTCCCTAGCTCCACTGCTCTGAGAAAGCCGAAAGTGTGGCAAAGAGGTTGGCGGCCTTACCCCCATCGCAGCAGCAGCCCGACAAGGCCAGGGAGAGGAGGACTGGGCCCCACAGCTTCACAGCCATCATTCTGGGTCCCCCAGATCTCTCTTTCCAAAGGCAGCAGCAGGCACAAAACTCCCTCGCCCAACCTGGCTGTGATTCGCCAGTGGGAAAGGTCTGCAGCAGAGAGAAAGAGGGAGCAAAGCCGGCTGGGGAGAGCCACTGCCCATCCTGCTTATTTGGGGGACCTTGATAAAGAACAAGAGGAAACACGACACCCGCCCTCCGGGAATTCAGCATGGAGGAGATTTATTGTTTCAGCCCGTTCACAGGAACTCCTTTTTCTTTGGCAGGCGTTTGTGTTTTTGTTACTACGTTATTTTGTTCTTTAGCTGCAGAGGTCAGAAAGGTGGCTTAAGGGAACGGATCTCTTTCTAGAAGAGGTCACTTTGATAATGTTGAAAATGCATTTTAAATGGCGTTTGGGATACACCCCTGCACATTTAACAATGGCCATCTAAAGCACGATGAACACTGTTATTGCTATATGAAATGCTCTCTCCAAACCTTTAAAAGAATGTTTGATGAGCAGTCCAATAGCTTTCAGTTGAATCATGCAATAATATACATGTTTTAATCTGTAACTAAATAACGAAGTAAGCATCAACTCATTTGTTGTGAAAGGAGATAATTCATTGATCGATATCACACATTGTGGGATAGGGTAAAGAGCTGTATTCATGCCATGGTAATACGTAAGTTAGTCAGAAGCCAAACCCAATGCATGCAGATAAGTAATTGTACTTTCTGCCTTATCATTACAAGCAGCATTCAAAACTGATAACAATAATAGGACTGGGCAGAAAAGTTTGAATTCTAATCAAAACACAAATCAATTAAAAACGTGCATATATATATATATACCCTCACCAGTTAGAATCCATTTCAGCCAACACCAGCTGAAAATCCCAAGTTCAGGATGAATAAAAAAGACATAGCTAACCTGGCCTCCACTGGCAGGGAATTCCAGGTAACTCTTCTTTCTTTGGAAGGTAGTAAAAAAGAAAGGGTGGCTGGGCTGTTTTTCAAACAAACTGCTTCCAAAATTGCATGAACCAACATTTTGAATTTTGCACAGAACTGACATGTAGTCAATGAATGAAAGAATCACATGCACTATATAATTAGCTGTGGTCTAGTTACAACTAGTATCTGGGGTGGGGTGGGGACTGTCAGAAAACTCAAGATGACAGCCATTACTACACTTTCAAAGCCCTATTTTACATGCATCATTCTTTCTCCTCCTCTTCCTTTCCTCCTCTTTAACTCATATCTCGATTTAATTGACGTTTTTAATGTATATTTTAATATATATACACATACATACACACACACATACATACACACATGTTGGTCAAAGACCATAATAAAGGTTTACCTACCATGCATCATGTGTGTGACACATGTAAAATTGGGGAAAGGCTTGGACTGTGCAATTGCGGCCACCATCTTTTAAACTCTACCTGGCATCCTGATTCCAAGAAAGATTGAATCTAAGGGCTGGCTCTACCATTAGGCAGAGGGAGCTTACCTCTGCTTCCTAAGCTAACAATGGAGTACTCTGGAGTGCTTGTTTTCATGTTGAAGATTAGATTTCCATGTCAGTCAGCTTTTGTATCTAGAATATTTGGGGGTGCAAGAGAAAAGACTTCTTGTACTTTGCCTCAGACAACAAAAACTGGTCTGGTCTTGCTGAGTTGTGATATCCTGCTCTGTTTTTCAGCCGGATGCCTTCCATCTTGATAAACGTAAGCTTCAGGTGTGGCTTAAGCTTTATCCAGTCCATTATTAATACCAGATGCTGATTTAGTACATTAATTGGTTCCTCAGATTTAAATGTAAAGTGGAGATACAGTTAGTTGTTAAATTAAACACAAATTCAGTGAGGATTTCCATATGAATATATGGTAGTATTGTAT